ACTGCTACTGCGACCGCTACCGCTACCGCGGCACCGCTACCGCTACCGCTGCCGCTACCGCTACTGCTGCTGCTGCTGCTACTACTACTACTACTGCTACTCAAGATCCTGCAGTGCTATCGTCGACGTGCCAAGTGGGTAACAAAACTACTACTCCTACTACTACTACTGCTACTACTACTACTACTACTACTACTACTACTAACCCTAAACCCTAAATCCTAAACCCTAAACCCTAAACCCTAAACCCTAATAACAATAATAATGATAATAATAACAAACGAAAAAACCATTACTGAAGGAAGCACAGAAAGGTCCATGCCAGCTCCAGCTCATGCCGGTGGCATGTTCGACTTCGGGTTGACGCTCCCATTCGTGGCGGCACCCCGGCAGTGTTCATTGGAATGTCGTGGACATCAATATGTCTGTACAGTCTACCCGTGCATCCATCTGTCTATCTACTTATCTATCTATCTATCTATCTGTCTATCTGTCTATCTGTCTATCTATCTGTCTATCTGTCCCACCTATCCTGCTAGCTTCTCTATTAATGTACATGTGTACACACACATTAACTGTCTATAGCCTGAGCTCTCTCCGTATGCATACACATGATTTTACTGTTCACCCATTGCTTTGGCAAACTTACACGCGCAAGCGAAACCTGATCTGGGTTGAGTTTGCTCGCTCCCTTGAGGTGCTCTTTGTTGCCGTACTGGTACACTAATGTGACACCGCTTGTCAAAGGAGAAAGGGTTTCGTCTCTGAGAGTCCTCGTGCTTTATGGCTGCTTCGCATGGGCATGTCTTGGGGACGATGCAAGTCCCGTAGGCTTTGTTCTTGGAGTATATGTACGGTATTTCTTTAGAGGATGGAGCGAAAGGTATTACCGACACAATATGTGATTCAGAATGTACGCCTTGACCACGCGTTGAGGCATATCAGTGTGCTGCGGAAATCGGAATCAGCATTCATGAAAACCTCCGCGAGCATGTTATTTTTTATGTCGCCTAACTAATGCATCCCTTGATGCTGTGGCTGTTAGGGCTCCTTCCTGCTCCTGATGGCTGTGCTCAACGCACTCTTCTACGCACCCGTCTCGGAGGAGACCCTGATACTATCGTTGAACGGCAGCATGCGGCGATATCGAAGATGAAGAGTGAGTGTTTGTCTGGCCTTCCTGCATATATTGCCGAGTTCGGGGTTGACCCTGATGACAGAGTTTGGCGACTCAAGCGGTGTTACAGGCTTGAAATCTGAGTCGTGCTGCCTTACTCCTTTCAGCTTCCTTCAGCCTCCCACTCAAAACGATGCTTCGTCACCCTGTTGGCCCCGGCCTGTGACTCAAAAAGCACACACACCCCTACACCCTCAGAGTTTGCAGGTGTGTAGAAATGGGAGTTTCCGAGAATTAGGGGTACCTTATTTTGGGGTCCTTATATTAAGGATCCTATTATTTAGGGTACTATATTAGGGTCCCCTATTTTCAGAACCCCCCAAAAGTCCTATGTGTCTATGCCTAAGTGCAAGTGTAGACAGGTTCTTTGTGGTGTGCATCCTTCTATTACGTGTTACTTTCAGCGAGCCTTGCACAATTTAGCTGGCCAAGTCCGACCAGAGACCTCATCCGGCTGAGCCGAGCTGTGAGAACGTAAACTCCCAACAGCCGTAAACCAGCAAAAATCTTAAACCCCTAAACCCTGAACTTTCCCCCTCCATCCACTCTTCTCCAAGAAGAAGCTCCCTCACGCCGGAGGAGATGGAAGAGCGAAACTCGAAGCTTCTGCAGACCCTGTCTGATGCCACCGACATGCTGGCAGAGGCTGATGAGATGCAGGCCGCTACACCGTTTCGACCCTATCGGGGTTCTGGATTGTCGATTGGGGGTTAAGGGTTTTGTGAGTTCCAGTGGAGCTGACGATCCGCGATGTCAGAAGAGCAAGTTCAGCCAGTATGGGGGTTTCTGAAAATAGGGACCCGAATATAGTGCCCTAAAAAATAGGGTCCTGAATATAAGGACCCCGAGATAAGGTACCCCTAATTTTCGGAAACTCCCGTATGGGTCAGGTGCAGTACACCGCGGAGATCAAGGAGGCACGGGAGAAGGCTGCGAAGGAGCCAGTTGATGTCATGCACTGGGGCTCGGGGTTCATGGTTTCGAGTTTTGCTTCGGAAGTCTCTTCTTCGAAATCGGGGGCGTGTTCTAGGGCCTCTAGGGGTCTATGAGTCGAGGAGCACCCTCCGTCTAGAATTCTAACATATCAAGTCGTCGTCGACCTATCAAGGTCAGTCTTGAGTTGCACTTATTGGGCAGGAGCAGATGACCATTCCTCAGTTTTTCATGTGCACCATACTGACGCTCGCCGGCGATGTCCCAATAGGTCGGTCTTTCTAGGTACTCTGACACAAGCGATTTCCGAAGCTCAGCCTTGCACTTTCGAGGACAAAGGCGTCCGATTCAGATATCTAAATCGGTTAAATCGTGAAGGTTGTGTGGCTGAAGAAGAACGACTTAAACAGGAGATGGTGAGTCATCACAACACGCAGACCATTACACAATCCAGCCGGCCTTACGTGGAGTTCGCAATCGGAGATCCGCATTGTTCAACGTGTTAGCCTTCTCGTGTTGATTCAAACGACAGTGCATCAACAATGTATGGGCCGAATGGGTGGATGCCGTCGAACAAGGAGGCACTAAACCCAGAGTCACCGCCCATAGTTGTCGACATTCAGTTGTGGAGCGAAGCCTCCTGTGAAGCTCAGGGCTCAGACGCTTGTTGCTTTGCAGCTTCGTTAGCCCTGTCGCTTGCGAGCCTGTGTGCTTCGCTTATGTGACGGACATATGTGGAGCCTTGCCGGCTGCGTGCGAGAGTGAGAGTCGAAACCCTGGATTTTACTATCGCTGTTGTGGTTGCTATTCCTACGGCTAATACTGTAATTGCTGGTCCTGTCAGGGTCGGGGTTTTCCAAGCGCCGAATCTTGCAGAAAGAGCCTGAAGGAGCTTGCGGAGGCGCGAGAAAAGACTGAGGCTGCCATTGAGGCCTGCCTGCCAGGGCAGTTTACGGCTTAGCGTTGGGGTTCGCGGCTTAGGGTTCAGGATGTACTTTGAGGAAGCGAGCTGGCGGGGGGTGTTCACTGCAGAAGTCGCCCAACCTGAACACCAAATATTCCCCTAATTACCACGAAGCTCTCATAAGTTTTGTTACGACTGAATGCCTCCGGGTCGGAACAGATGCTGGCTAAGCAGTCTTGCCCACAGCTCTCAACGCAATACATCACCATGCCAAATCGGCAGCCCCAGTGAACAAGCCACACTGCTCTCAACATGGAGAAAGATACAGTCGTCAGAACCATGGTCGTGTGACAATGCCAATGCTGAACATTGGCAGTGCATGGAAAACAAGCGAATGACGGCGAGTACGTTCTAGCACCACCCAGCATTATACAATATTACATAAAACCCATGTTACCCACTATATGCTTCCCCTTGCGAAGTAGGAGGCAAGAACTATGTGACTTAGGGGCTTTCGGATTGAAGTCAAGATTGAAGTCAAGGGGTACTTAGAAGCCCCGAACTTGCGATGGACCGCGACGATCTCATCCTGGTTGGATCTTTCCTGCGTCGACGCCTTCTTCTGGAGAAGGCGGGTTCAGAGTTTAGGGAGTTTTTTTATTTGGCGAAGTGGAAAGCCTGTTGCAAAAAGGGAGTTTCTTGGGGCATTCACCTCGTAGCTGGTTCTGTGAGGTGTATGAGTGCATATTGAGACTTGTTCTTTCTTCAGAAATGTCGTCTGACCCTGAACCATACGCCGCTCAGAAGGATTTGGTTTTTGTGTTGTGCATGTCAGGAATTAGGCATGTCTGCAGGCGGGCCAGACTGTCCCGGAGGTTTAGCATTTGGGTAGTTCTCTAAATTGGGGTTCCTTAGGGTCCTTTGTATCAGGGCGTCGTACTACTTTTGGGGACGGAAAAAGGAACCTACTTTGGAGAACTACCCATTTAGTGAGGCTGGACCACTCTCAG